CCAGGTCCCTGCCTGCCAGGACACCCCAGCCCTGCCCAGGGGCCTTCCTAGAGGAGCCTCTGGGTTGCTAACGGGCCTCAGACTTGCCCACAGCCTGGGCAGTTGCTCCAAGATGGGCTTTATAGCCGTTCACTTCCCGGATGATTTGATGAAACTCCCAGGGGGATCTAAGGGCCGGGCCAGATCCTATGGCTCCCCAATATCCTTCCCCAGCGTCCCCAGCCGGGGCTCTGAGCTGTGGTGGACCGAGAGGAAGCCCCTCAGCTGAAAGCCAACAGCAGACAGAAGAGGCCGGGGTTAAAAGCCCAGTGACCTAGGTAAAAAATCAAGGCCTGAACTTTTTTTTGTTTTTGTTTTTGGTGATATTGGGAATGGAACCCAGAGCCTGTATACTAAAACTATGTCCCCAGCCCTTTTGTCAATTTTTATTTCAAGACAGCGTCTTGCTAAATTGCTAAATTGCTAAACCTCCTGCCTCAGCCTCCTTGAGTGCTGGGATTACAGGCGTGTGCCACCACCACGCCCGGCAGTGACGGACATTTGAGGACTGGCAGGGGCTTTGTTAGGTCCCCGAGTACCTCCCAGGAGGCGCGGAGTAAGCACAGCAGGGAAAGGAGGAGCTTCACAGTGGGACCTGGCAACAGCACCTTGATCAGGGTTCTGGGCTGACGCAGGGATGGGGCGCTGACCTCACGCTGGGAAAGACACAGCTGCCTCTGCTTCCGCCAAGTGCAGGCGACCAAACGGAGTTGCAGCCAAACACCAGGAAACTCCCGCGGAGAGACGTTCCACGCAACAGCTGTGCTGCACTCCCAGAAACGTCAGAGTCAGCTGGTCCTGGCCTCCAGGCCTCCACCCAGCTCTCTGGGAGGCCGAAGCAGGAGGACTGCATATAGTTCAGTGCGAAGGCCCTAGCATCTAGGGGAGGGGGGTTCAGTGAGGAAAGACAGAGATAGGCTGCAGGGCTGCCTTGGAATCAGGAACTGAAGAGCCAGACAAGAAAATCTGTGTGATCCTGGGTCTCAGCACTCTCTGCCCCTTCCCCTGAACTATAGCTGGGGGCCAGCTCTGAGCTGCCAGAAAAGTCTGGTTTTGCTCACAGACTACAGAACAGTTCTGCATTAGTGTCAAATTCCTGCTTTAGTGCATGGACCCTGGCTATGTGAGAAAATATTCTTGCCTTAGAATATACACACAGAGCTGGGCGTGGTGACATACACCTGTAATCCCATCACTTGGGAGGCTGAGGCAGGAGGATCCCTGCAAGTTCAAGGGCAGCCTGAACTACATAGTGAGACCCTGTCTCAAAAAACCCCTAAAACAAAACAAAACAACCAGCAGAAAATATATGCAAAGCCAGGCGTGCTGGGACACACCTGTAATTCTGGCACTGGGAGGCTGAGGCAGGAGGATCACCACAAGTTTGAAGCCAGCCTGGGCTGTATAGTTAATTCAATGCCAGCCTGAACCAGTTAGCAAGACCCTGTCTCAAACAACAACAAGAAAACAGAAAAAGAAGAAAGAAAATACATGCAAAAATAATTAGCAGTAAGGGCTGGGAGTGAACTCAGGGGTACAGTGCCTGCCTAACATGTGCAAGGCCCTGAGTTCATCCCCAGCACTGAGGGGGCGGGAAAACATGAAAAAGATATTTAGCAATAAAGGATTCTCTTAAATGTTAAAGAAACAGTGAATACTGTATGTAAGAAGAAAGATGCAAACATACCAGTAATAAAACGTTAATATGTGGAAGAATCGCAATGAAGGACCCTAGTAGATCGTATGTTTATTAAAACCTTTTTGTTCTGGGTTTCTTGAGACAAGATCTCAATACGGAATTCAGGTTGGCCTTGAACTCACTATGTAGCAACCTCCTGCCTCAGCCTCCCCAGTGCTGAGATAGCAGGTGTGTGTCACCACGCCCAGCTGCTACAACTCTCATCAGGTGGAAATTATTTCAAAATAAAATTGAAATAAATAATTAAACCAATCTTAAAAGCTAAGTGTGATGCCACACACCTGTAATGCCAGCTACTAGAGAGGCCGAGGCAAGAGGATTGAGTTTGAGGCCAGTCTGGGCTACTTGTGAGAATCTGGAAATGAAAGAAGCACAGACAGATGGGTGGCAAAAATTTTTAAGAAATGTAGAAATAAATTCTCCCTCCTTCTTTGGCTGTCTCTACCCTCCCTGCCTCCCTTTCTTGGAAACCTCACCCCACAGGGGACCACTGTGCCTCCCACCTGCCAGTTTAGTGGAGGACACGCCCGTGCTGCCCTCTCTCGGCCCAGCCCTGCGTCCCAGGCCAGGTTAGCCGTGCCGAGCTCACCCGAGGGCTCTCCCCACGGGAGCCTGCGAGCCGGCTTCCGGGTGGCCCCGATCTGGTCTCTGTCCGTCCCAGAGGCGCCACAGCCCTGCACTAGGCCGTCCTGCCGGGTCTCAGCCTATCTGTCCTGCTGACTCCACTCCCCTCTCCCAGCGGCTGGTGAACCTTTGTGCCTAGGGCGAAGCTGGCTCGCATCGCCCTCCGGAAAGCCCAGCTCCTGGCCGTCCAGCCTTGGCCCCTCACTCCCGCCTGGCACCTCGGCCCAGGGAAGAGGATTGTTTAAGGAATCACTTGTTTCTTTTCTGTCTCCCCGCTAGAACCTAAGTTCCATGAACGTGCGACCCAGCTGTCTTGTCTACGGCCCTCACTGCAAGGCCTAGGACAGGGCCTGGCACAGACTTCACCAAACCCTGCCGCACCAATGTTTGGTGGCTGCTGCCACCTATCTGACAGGCAGAAACTGGGCCTCGCGGGAGGGGAGAGCCTCGGGGCTCCAGGGGCCAGGAGCCAGGCTTGCCTGACTCCCAGCACGACCTCAGCCAGGTAGACCCAAGTTCAAGCCCGATGACCTCAGGCAACCCCCTCGGCTCCAAGCCTACCTGCCTAGAGGCCCAGGCCTCCGGGACCATGAAGTCGCTGGCTTGCCACTGTCAGCACCTACTGTGGTTGAGGTCCTGAGCCACCGAGAGGAGACACGACAGAGACTGGGACCCGGCGGGCTCAGCCAACCGGTGCCCAGCCCCCACCCTGCTCCCTAACTTCCCTTCAGGGAGGCCAGCCACAATTTGGCGATTGTTAGAGAGCTTTTTTTTCCTTTGGGGAGGAAAGCTGCAAGTCATTAAGGGCTGCTCCTGGCCTGCGGGTCACCATTTCCTGTTTGGAAGAAAGAAACATCTCTCCTTTGGAACGCGGACTCCCCGGCCTGACTCGGGCGTGAGCCTGGTGCTGCTCTGCTGCCCACAGAAAACTGGCACCTTGGGGACCTTTTGTGCTCAGAAAGGACACTCTCTCCTGGCCCCAGAGCCCCCAGAGGTGAAGTCACCACTGTACTGGCCACCGGGTGGGAGTGAATCGCCAATGCCCAGGCACAAGCCGGAGGTCCTCCCATCCTCGAGCAGGAAGCTCAACGACCCTACCCTTTGGCCTGGCTTCTCACCCTCCTGGCTCCAGCCAGCCAATTTCCTTGCATCAAAGGCCATTTGGTACCCAGCAGCCAGACGGAGGTGTGGGTCTGCCTGACAGGGAGGCCAGCCGAGCCCTTGGGAACAGGAAGGACATCCTCTGCTTCTCCTGGGGGGCAGCCAACTCCGCCCGGAGAGCTGCAGGGCTGGGACAGAGCCACCCGGACTGTCGAGTTGATGAGACCCAGGAAACCAGCTGCAGAACGCAAGAGTAAGAGCCAGCTTGCAAGGGAGCAGGGGTGACGCATAGGGCCCCACTGTTTGCTGGCCAGAGTCGTCTCCAAACCACTAAACACTGAAGTCCAGGGAATCTCGTTGGCACAGAGCCTTTCAGTCAAACTCAGGACTCCAAGACCCACAGAATGTTTCCAAACAAGATTTAGGGCCCTGTCAGAAATATCTAAGCTCCAAGAATCCTGACCCCTCCTCCCTTCCCAAATACTTTCTAAAATACCTACCCAAAGTCCCCCTCTGTGGCACATGCCTGTGATGCCAGCACTGTGGGAGGCTGAGGCAGGAGGATTGCCAACTGGAGCCCGGCCTGGGCAATTTGGACTTAGTGAAATTCTGCCTCAAAATAAAAAATTAAAAAAAAAAAAAAAAAAAAAAGGATGGGTGGTAA